CACCATAATAAAAAGGAGTAGATGGAGATGGATTGGACATGTTCTGAGAAGAGAACCGGACTCTATTGTGAAGACTGCCCTCCACTGGACCCCCAAAGAACGTCACAAAAGGGGCAGACTCAAAGTGAGCTGGAGACGCACAGTAGAGTCTGAAATGAAGTCCTGGAATCATTCGTGGGGAACGCTGACCAAGATGGCCTAAAACAGACAGAGCTGGAGATCCAGTGTTGCTTCCCTAAACGCCAGATGGCGTAATGGGTAGTAAGTAAGTAAGTTTGCAATTTGGAAATGCTGCACAGTTGGATGCTAATTGTTTCTGACAACAGTTCACCAACTAACACTTATTTTTGGAGAACCAAGAGAACATAATCGCGAAGCTTAATCAACAAGAACGACACAAAGCCGTGTTGTGAGAGAAGTAAAGAGGACAGCAATCAAAGATTTGAACACCTCTCAATGTCGTCATCGATTTAGACAAGGTTAAAAAAAACAAAAAACCGAACTGCTGCCTTATACACACAGTCTATTATGACAGTTACAAGCCTGTTGAAAGCGTATGACAGTTACAAGCCTGTTGAAAGCGAAGGGGAAATATGTTGAGTTGATTTCAGTTAAGCAAATAATCAGGTCTGTGTTCAGGAGCTGTTTGCCTTTCCAAAACCAGACGATCCATAAAAAAAAAAATCGTGAATAGCGTTGAGAACTGTCACGGTAGTCACCGTATTGTACCTTACTCTTTTTTACTCACGGGACGTAAGCGCCCCGTATGCCATGGGCTCTTGGTTAATGTTACTCACTTCGGCGATCTACATAAAAAGTCAGACACTACACCCGGGCTCATTATTAGAATGCTTGCTGTCGTGTGTGTTCGTCTCTCCAGTTTTACAGTCGTGTGTGTAGATTAACATTACAAGAACAGTGAATATGGAATAAGGAATGTCGCTGACGGACTCCAAATATTATTAAAAACCCCCAAAGCAAAACACATTTTCACTCGGTATTCAAATAGCACGAACAGTAGCCTCACGCTCGAGGCCTTTTTTCCCTAATCGCACAGCACGCATGATCATAGACCTGAATTATAACCTAGACTGTGCGTTAGCCTCTTAATCTTAAGCTTCCTTGATCCATAGCAACTGTCGCAAGATCATTCAGGCAATTTCCTCACTAGCGGGTCCGAGGTTCTCTCTCTGGGAGGCCCACAAAGGGAGCGGTAACCGCAGCGAGAAAAGGCCGGCTACGGGCTAAGTCTACCGAAGGAGACCGAGCGATCGGCAGTACATGTATATCCCATCAACTGTCTTCGTTGCGCGATTTCATTTTTATTGATTTTATTGATTTGAAAGGCATTTGGCCCTGATATACACACATTAAAACATATTATGACTCAGCAAATACATACATTTGGTGTTGCACGTGAGATAATTTGTATAAATTGGGCACGCACGCACGCACGCACACACAGACGCAAACACGCACGCACACACACAGACACACACACCCGGACACACACACACACGCAAGCATGCACATACATACATGCATACATACATACATACATACATACATACATACATACATACATACATACATACATGCATACATACATGCATACATACGTACATACGTACATACGTACATACGTACATACGTACATACGTACATATCTATATACGTACATACGTCCATACGTACATACGTACATACGTACATACGTACATACGTACATACCTATATACATACATATATACATACATATATACATACATATATACAGAGAGACATACAGACATACATACGTACATACGATCATACGTACATACATACATACATACATACATACATACATACATACATACATACATACATACCTATATACATACATATGTCTCTCTGTATGTACGTATGTACGTATGTACGTATGTACGTATGTACGTACATACGTACATACAGAGAGACGTACAGACGTACATACGTACATACGTACATACGTACATACGATCATACGTACATACATACATACGTACATACGTAGCCTACATACGTACATACATACATACATACATACATACATACATACATACATACATATATACATACATATATACAGAGAGACATACAGACATACATACGTACATACGTACATACGTACATACGTACATACGTACATACGTACATACGTACATACGATCATACGTACATACGTACATACGTACATACGTA